CCGAGGGAGCTGAGGGTGGGGGACTAGGAAGGGTGGAGGAAGAAGAGACCAGGGAGCCCTCCCTCCCCACCTGTTGCCAAAGGAGCTCTTCATTGTGAAGACTAGAGAACCAAGGGCAGGGGTGAGCTGCACACTTGCCACAGATCACATAGCCCACCAGTCTGCTTAACCTTGAACCGGAGCGAGAGGCACTGGGGGATGGCCCCTCCGTAGGACCCTCAGCCCTTTGCCATTGAGCCCACCCAGGACAAGTTCAGCACCATTGTCCCAGAGGGACCCCCTTGACGAGACTCTGCAGTATAGAGGTTTGGACTCCCCCAGCTTCCACATTTAAAGTCCTCCTCCCTGCCCCCAAGCCAGCACCAGGACTAAAAGGCACCAGGTCCTAGGGCGGACAGACTTCTTCTCCCTGCTCTTTTGGCCACAGGGATGTGTCAACATGATGGCATTGTCAAACCTCTCCCCAAAGATGTGGGGACACAACCAGGAGAGTGGCCTTGAGCAGGGAGCAGGGGTCCCAGTGCTCGAGAGGTCAGTGATGGTCACTGAGCCCAGGAGTTTCCGAACTCTTCAAGCAGCCGAAGCCGCGTAGCAAACAAAGCCCCATGCGGAAGTCTGATATAAAAGTGGCATGTACCACTAGGGCGTGTGTGCATTTTTTAAAAGTGTGTCCTCGCCCTGGCTGTGCACAACCACTTTCTCTCCCTTCCCCCCTTTCCCTCTAAAAAAAAAAATTAAAAAAAAAAGAAATGAGAGTTGCATTCCTGTTTTAAAAAAAAAAAAGTGTGTCCTCATTACTGAAGAATAAGATAAAGCTATAAATCCAGTTTTAAATGATCAAAGCATTTAAGCCACAAGTGATAAAATATCAAATGTGTTTGGTACGTTCAAACATACCATATATTTATTATAAAGGCACCTCAATGACAGCAAAACATAAAAAGCAAAGTTATAATCACTTAAGTCTCAGCATCCAATTTATTTTTGAGTTTGCTCAGGTTTGAGAAAAGTCTAGATTTGTATGGCTACGTGGTTTGAAAGCTTACCTGGAAATCTCAGGGGCCTCTTCAGTGAAATGGATTGACTCTTCATTCATTCACTCATCTGGCACATTTGTTGAGTGCCTAGTAGGTGCCAGGCATACTGCTGAGGTCTGAGCAAGTGGGAAAAAAATTATTTCTTTCAATCCAAATCACTAATGTAACACTTATTCATTTTCCTCATTGTGTTAGTCAAATGAAGACTCAAGCTTATAATAAGCACCAGCTCTCTCTTTGGTGCACTGTCGTGTTGCGATTTTACAGAAAGTCACGCGTAATTACTCAGCATAACACAGCAGGCCCCCGGCTGATGGGCCCGAGTCTTTCCTGGGAGGAGCAAGCGTGTGCGGGCGTGTATGTCTAACCGTGTGGGCAGCTGTCTGGTCTAGAAGAAATATAACCATCCTCATTCATGACACACTTGAACACGTTCAGATACACACACAGAGATTCAAAGGGCCACCCGTTCATTCATCCTTCCGATGTTTGCCACGTTCCTACTCTGCGACAGCCGCGGGGCTGGTTTCTGGAAATGCTGTGATGAACAGAACGTCCCTGTCTTCGTGGAGCTACATCAATCAATGAACAACACTAATAAAGGAGATCATTAAGGAGTGGCTGTGCTAAGAAGGAAATGAGCAGGTTGATGTGACCCAGCTACCTTAAGGTGGTCAGAGATGTTCCAAGGAGCCAGCGTTCGACCTGAGACCTGATATATGAAAAGCAGCCGACCTTGGGAAGAGCCCAGAGGAGGGAGCTGTAATCAGTGAGCACAAAGCCCTGAGGCAGAGACGTGCTCAGAGTGTTGGGAAGCAGGAAAGGTGGTCGGTCTGGAATGGCGTGACCGAAGGGAACAGTAATGTAGGGGAAATGGTGGAGATGGGTCCAGGACAGCTCAGGGGAAGCCTCAGAGACCAGGGACAGGAGATGGGATTTCATACGAAATGCAATGAGAAGCTGTTCGGGGGTCTGCAGCAGAGGGAGATATGATCCCATTTGTGTTGTTAAGGGATCACTCAGGCTGCTGTGCAGTGAGTGGACGCACCGGGACAGGAACAGAAGTGAGAAGAGCAGCCAGGAGGCCGTGGGGGGTGTCCACCCCAGCAGTGTGGAGCCCAGTACCACACCGTGACACTGGAGATGGGGAGCCCTGAGAAACATCTTAGAGGTCAAGTGTGTAGGTCTTCCACATGCACAGATCTCTCCTCTGTAACTCCAGCCTCCTCAATCTCCCTGTCCACTGTACATCTCCACCTGGACACTGGATACGCATTTCAAATTTTGCCCAAACTCGGTCTCTTGATCTGCCACCCATAAGCCCGCTCTTCCCCAACTTCGCTCTTCCAGGAGTTGTCCTCTACTGCTCTCATCCTGCTGCCCACCTCCAATTATGAGTAAACCTTGCTGGCTCCATGTTCAAAATATATCTGGAATTCAACCACTTTCACCATCTGTACAGCTGCCACCCCGATGGAAGCAACCTTTACTACTCACTGTGAATATTTCAATAGCCTCCAGTTGGCCTCCCAGCTTCTGCCTTTGCTCTCTATAACCCACATGTTCCTGTTAAGATGTAAGTCAGACTATGACATTCTCCTCTTCTGCTCAGTGGCTTTCCGGAATACAGTTTCTTTGCTCCCTCTCTGACCCCATCTTCCACCACTCTTTCACCTGATCACCCTTCTCCAGAGATACCAGACTCCTTGCTGTACTTTAAATCTGCCAAACACAATCCTGCCCCAGGACCTTTGCACATGCTTGCTCCTCTCTGTTGTCTCCAGATGTCTACTTCTGCACACCCCGCTTCATTCAGCTCTCTGTTCAAAGGCAATCATCCCAGAGAGGCCTTCCCTGACCACTCCCTATAATGAAATAATCCTGCCACTTTATTCCCTTGCCTTGTTTTATTTTTCTTCATAGAATGTATAGTCTCCAGACATCGTATGCTTCCTTGTTTATTCACTTATTGTCTATCACTCCATTCTAAAATGTAATCACCATGAAAGCAAGGTTTTGGTTGTGTTCATTGCTTTATCCCCAATACCTGGACCAGTACCTGACACATAACAGATGCTCCATAATATGGGTTGAATGAATAAATGAATGTGGGTTATGGAGTGAAGCCCCGCATGAGGGAGACCATCAGCACCTCTACAAATGAAGAAGGCAGGGCACTGAAAGAGCCCTTTAGATTTGGTGGCAAGGGAGGGCTTCCCAGCACCCAGAGAACCAGTGAGGACAGCTGCCAGGGGTTAGTGAGAAAGGCACAAAGGTCACTCTTGCTTATACTCTGGGCTCCAGAAGAAGAGACCAAGGGAGTGTGTGGTCCAAGGGAGACCTCCAGCCAGAGTGTTGTGAGGAAGGGGTGGGCTGCAGATTGAGGAAGAGGCTGAGAGGCCCTATGGGGGTAGGGACACCCCACGGCTTGCGAGGGAGCCAGATATTCCAGGGGGTGGTTGTCTCCCCCTATTCCCAGCCTCTGCTGTGGGCCTGGTGGGAAGAAATGCAGCTTCAGACTCTGCAGGAGCTGAGCTCTGAGACCGACTACTCAGGCCCTGTCGGGGCTCAGTGCCCCAGCGACTGGGACGCCCGCAGGGAGCCCACAGCCCATAAGGTGCCTGGGGACAGAAGTAAGCCCTGCTGGGAGGGAGGTAAGGGCTTCCACATCCTTTGTCTCTAGATTGTTACCACCCTACTCACTCCAAGAGATAGCTATTATTATCCCCGAATTTACAAAGTGGAAAACAGGCTCAGAAGGTGAGAGACTTCCACAAAATCACACAGGAAATTTCGGAGTTTGGACTCGAACCAGCACAGGTCATTGGTCTGCAAACTTCACTCCCAGGATGTGAGGTTATCAGGAGGAATCTGGGCCTTTGAGGCCTTTGCGCAGTGAACTTTTCTGGCGCAGCACTGCGCGCGATCAGGAAGCATGAAGAGAGCAGACGGAGGAAAATTCCGGCCCTCTTCCCAGCCGAAGAGGTATCTCCTCCCAAAGCGTCACTGGATACTCGGCTGCCCAAACAAAAGGCGCAGGTTGAGAGGGGCACGAGTTCGCTTCCCTCCCTCCACGCAGGGGCAGGAGCTGAGTTCGGGGAGATTCGCGCGAAGCTTTAACAGCAATGGGAAGATGAGCAGGAACTGGCCTAAATAACAAGGCCACTGCGCTCGGTTTGTTTCTGGCTCACCCACTTAGATTCTTGGAGTCTACCTCTCATTGAGCGCTCCTCTGCCTCTGATTGTAGCTTTTTCTGCTCTCTGAATATCCTGCAGCCTCTTGGTTTATCTCTCACCATCTCACTATCCCAGTCTAGAGTGTGTCTCTGCCCCAGATCTCCCGGATCTGATTTCTACGCCTACCCTATTTCTGGGTCCTCCCCTCCTTCACCCCCGTCCCATCCCACCAAATCAGAGGGCAGAGGGGCCCGAAGTCAGCTGGGAGGTGCGTGCCTGCGGCCAGCGTTTCCCGTGGACACAGGAAGAGCCTTGTGCTGGAGAGGTTTGGAAAGAGTGTGCCCGGGAGCCAAGTGGCCGCGTTGAGCTGCCAGCTTCTGCCTCCTTGCCTAGGGTGGAGACAGAGAGCGCGTGGAGTGCGGAGAAGTAGGGGGGTGGCCCCTGTGGCCACCCTGGGGATCCCAAGCTCCTCCCCGGCCTGTTCCTATTGGCCTCGGGCGCCCCCGCCCCCGGCAGCCCGCTCCCTCTCGGGGACCTGTAGGCTACTACCGGTTAAATAGCCCCCGGCGCCTGCCTTGTAGATAGGGGTGGAGAAGCCCTACGGCGCTGCCCCCAGTTTCCCGGGCGTGCGACAAGCGGGACGGGACCCGGCAGGGTAGGGGGCGGTCGGATATACATTCAGACCCCCAGCACTTTACTGTCACACGCCGGGGCTTCAGAGCGGCTGAAAGTTCGGGCAACCCCTGCCGCGGGCGTTGGGCAAAGCCACGGCTGCTCCACTCCCGGCCGGGATATGGAGCTGCTGTCGCCGCCGCTGCGCGACGTAGACTTGACGGGTCCCGACGGCTCTCTCTGCAACTTTGCCACAGCGGACGACTTCTACGATGACCCGTGTTTCGACTCCCCGGACCTGCGCTTCTTCGAGGACCTGGACCCGCGCCTTGTGCACGTGGGCGCACTCCTGAAGCCAGAGGAACACTCGCACTTCCCCGCTGCGGTCCACACAGCCCCGGGCGCGCGCGAGGACGAGCATGTGCGTGCACCCAGCGGGCACCACCAGGCGGGTCGCTGTCTACTGTGGGCTTGCAAGGCGTGCAAGCGAAAAACCACTAACGCGGACCGCCGCAAGGCCGCCACCATGCGCGAGCGGCGCCGCCTGAGCAAAGTCAACGAGGCCTTCGAGACGCTCAAGCGCTGCACGTCTAGCAATCCTAACCAGCGGCTGCCCAAAGTGGAGATTCTGCGCAACGCCATCCGCTACATCGAGGGCCTGCAAGCGCTGCTACGCGACCAGGACGCCGCGCCCCCTGGCGCCTCGGCCGCCTTCTATGCGCCTGGCTCGCTGCCCTCCGGCCGCGGCGGCGAGCACTACAGCGGAGACTCAGACGCGTCCAGCCCGCGCTCCAACTGCTCCGACGGCATGGTAAGGCTGGCAACCCGGGCTGGAGGAGAAGTGGGGAAGCTCTGGGGTGGGGTGGGGGGCAAGGGGGGTATCTGGGAAGCATTTCTGAGGGCGGAGATCTTGCGCTGGGGGGGGGAGTGTTGGACGGAGACCCCTCCCTGGAGTAGACCCCAGTGTCTTGGGCAGCTGTCACTGGGGTGGCCTAGAGTTTGGGGAATGAGCGGTAGAGACGCGATCCACCTGATCGCAGCGCTGTTAGAACCCTGCTGCGCCTGGGGCTGCTTTTTCTCCACTTACCCCTGTTTCCAAAATGAAGATTTGTCCTCCGCCCTCTAATTGGCCTGACACGCTGCAGACAGCTCCTGTCGACCCTTACCCCATAACAACTCCATTAAGAAGGGCAGGAAAGTCGTGGTGAGACTTAGGAAGTGGGGGAGGGAGACCGAGAGAGTGATGTTCCGGTCCCGCGCTCCTGAGTCGGTCGCCCTTGCCGTTTGCAGATGGACTACAGCGGCCCCCCGAGCGGTGCCCGGCGGCGGAACTGCTACGACGGCGCCTACTTCAGCGAGGCGCCCGGTGGTGCGTATTCGCGCCTCCTTCTTCCCACGACCCCCTTCGAGCTGCCCCGGCTTCCCTCGACACAGGGATTCCCCCTCCCCTCACACACACCCATCCTGGAAGATGGTACAAGGAATGAAATGCGAAGCGTGTAGCTCCCTCTCTTTCCGCCCCGCACTCTCGCTGGATCGTCCGGGACAATGGCAGGCCCTCGGTTTCCCCGTCTCTCCCAAGGCACTGGGACCAGAAGTGGGAGAGTTGTCCGAGACTCGGCCGCTGCATACTAACCTACTCCTCCCCGCGCAGAATCCAGGTCCGGGAAGAGCGCTGCGGTGTCGAGCCTCGATTGCCTGTCCAGCATCGTGGAGCGCATCTCCACCGAGAGCCCCGCTGCGCCCGCGCTTCTGCTCGCAGATGCGCCGCCGGAGTCGTCTCCGGGCCCGCACGAGGCAGCCGCCACCAACGAGGGTGATCGCGGCGCCCCTACCCCTTCCCCCGATGCTGCCCCGCAGTGCCCGGCGGCCGCGAACCCCAACCCGATCTACCAGGTGCTCTAAGGGTGTGGACAGCTGCGTCAGAGGACGTCGCGGTCCACTTGTCCGAGGGATGGTGCCCCTAGGGTCCCCTCGTGCCCAAAAGATTGTGCTTAAGTGCCAATCCCTGCCCCCAACCGCGCTTTAGAAGCGACCCCTCCAGAGGGAGGAGAGGCGGGAGGACTGATGAGTTTCGCCTCTAGCTCCCCAGGGCAAGGACACAGTCCTTCCCCTTCCCCCGCCCCCCCAGTCCCGCCCCCGCCCAGCAGCCTCCCCTGAGACCCGCTGCGATGACCTTTATGGGTTCCTCTGTGGCCCAGAGTTGATCCTGGAGGGGCCAGGCCCTTCCTCATCCCGCCCTTTTCCCCCGCATGGGAGGCGGGGCCCGCGCAGACCTAAGCCCGGTCCCTGGACGCCCGGGTCCCTTATGTAGTCGTGGCCTCTCCTTTCTTAAGCTCTGAGGACATCAGCTCTTTCCCACCACCAGCGCACCGCGCTGTCCTCCCAGGTGTAACAAGTGTAAGGGTAACCACTCCCACCCTCTGTTCAGGACCACTTTTTGTAATACTTTTGTAATCTATTCCTGTAAATAAGAGTTGCTTTGCCGGAGCAGGAGCCCCTGGGGCTGTATTTATCTCTGAGGCATGGTGTGCGGTGTGAAAGGGACTTTGTATGTTTATACCAAAAGGGGGCGAGCGGCAGGAGCTCGCTCCGGTGTTCAAATAAAAACGCTAATTTATACCGCGGTGGCTCTGGCTTTCCCCAGGGGTAGGGGCAGAATACTGACCCACAGGAAAATCCACAAGCTGGGCCCGCCGCACAGCAACTAGCCCTATAGGTTTGTGGCAGGCGGGAGAAGTCTGGCGGGGTTCGTGTGTCTCCCATATCTGGGGGGGTTCCTGTGACTGAGCGGAACATCATCCCACGCAGGTCAGTGCTTTCCACGTCAGATGCATATCAGAATGATCTGACTAGATCACTAATGTTATAAAGAGATCCACGCCTGGCCCCATCCCCCAGAAATTCTACTTTAATGCATCTACGTGCCCCAGATACCTGGGGGCCAGGTATCGGTATTTTTCAAAAGCTTCCCAGGCGGTTCTGAAGTGCATGTAAGGTTGAGGATCTCAGTTAACCATGCAAAGGGTGAAGCTAGAAGGATCACTGGGAAGTTGCAGCCCCAGGCGCCCCTTGGAATCCTCATGGGGACAGAGGATGTGATAGTGTGCTCAGGCATTTTGAGGAGACACCAACTAGGTGTAAAGGGGCATGGGAAGCCACGTGGCACTGACAGGCTCTCAGTGGTAGGTGTAACCACACAGACATCACTGACGGGCGGGCAGGTACAGATGCTTCTACTCAGCCAATAACCCAGCACGTGGAGCATGTTGGCACTGTTGGGTCTGTTCAGACCCAGAACCTGCATCGCCGCAGGTGGTGTAGACACTGTCGTCAAGATACAGACACTCTGACCGCAGAGGAAGGGCCCCTGATTTAGCCAAGGTGCCAGGAAAGGCTTCCTGGAAGAGGTGCCGCTTGAGCTCTGTCTTGAGAAACAATAGAAAACAACTGACCCACAGACCCACACAGCCACAGGGGAGAGATCATCACACACACACACACACACACACACACACACACACACATTCAGAGGCACTTCTGCCTCCCAGCCTCTGCTAGAAGGGCAGAAGCTCCTCCCTGGTCATAAGACACCCTAACCTCAACCCCTAACACACATACACTGGCCATCAAGCCCTCGGTGCTTCCTAATCCCTCCCTCACAGACGCTTTCCCGCTGTAAAACCTTACAAACCCACACCCAGGGCTCTGATCGCTAAGTGTGGGGTGATGGGGGTGGCACTGAGAAATGCAGGCAAGATGTGAAGCCAGCAGGAAGGGCCTCGGTCCATATCCGAGGATCTGCCCCTGCTCTCTCCCCCCACGGTCTCCCTGAGGCGCTGCCAGGGTTGCTTTGTCACTAATGCTCTTCAGCTTTTCTTCTGGCTGCTTCCCCAGATGTGCTGTGGGGTTCCTTATACTTCTTTGAGACCCCCTGGGGCTCATTCATGAATTCATTCATTCAACAGATGTCAAGTCCTATGCTGGAAGGAGAAAGAGACCAGTGGACACAGGTCCTGCCTCAGGGAGCAGCCAGGCATTTGGGAAAATCGTATCTTTTAGCAACTGGTTACCTTACGATGAATTAAGGGCTACGTGGGGGTATATGTGGCAGGGGAACACGGTAGGAACAGGAGGTATAGATAAGCAAGTCGCCCCTAGTAAGAAACTTTGGAGGAGGTGGTCAAGAAAGAGGAGTCAAAATAGGGTGCTCCGAGCTGAGGAAGCCATGGGTGCAGAGCCCCAGAGGTGACAGAAAGCAACCTGTGCCTTCACAGAACCAAAAGTGCTCACAGGGAGGAACCAGCAGTGAGATGGGGACGAAGCAGAGGCAGGGCCACAATGGACCACATTTGGGCTTTATCTTGAAGGCAGTAAAGAGTCCGAGAAGCATCTGAACAGGGAAAGGATTCAAGTTCATCTGTATTTTAGAAAGGCCAGTCTGGGCTGGCAGAATGGATAGGGTGGGAGGCATGTCAGGGGGCCACCAGGGGCCACAGAGGAGACATTAACATGGCCTGAACTGGGGCAGTGACTGGCGATGGGAGAGAACACATGGGAGTGGGGGCAGTTGTGCAAGATAAAGTATAGGTGTGAGGCTACAGTGGAGACTCTTAAAGGCGCAGCCCTTACGCTCACCCAGCTTAAAACCCACTGGGAAACAGCCATTCACCAAAGATCCAGGCAGAAGGGGCAACTGTTACAAATGCTGAGGAGCACTATAAGGAAGAGTAGAGAGCGTGATGAGAGATGACAACGGGGTATGAGACGGTAACCAGGTGGAGAGAGGAGACAGCAGAGTTTCTGTACTGAAGGAGTCCACCACAAAAATGAAGAGGGCCCTAGTAGCCTCTGGGGAGCTAGTGTGCGATGAAAAAGAGGTGTCCCACTCTGGCGGGTGTGGCTCAGCTTGTTGGGCTCCTACTACGAAGCAGAAGGTCACTGGCTCGATTCCTGGTCATGGCCCATGCCTGGGTTGCAGGTTCTGTCCCCCCGTCAGGGTGCGTGCAGGAGGTAACCGACTGATGCTTCTCTCCCTCTTTTTCTTCCTCCCTTCCCCTCTCTCTAAAAATAAATAAGATCCTTTTGAGAAAGATAAGGTGTCGCTCTTTCCCGAGGACACTGCTGTGCACCAGGGGTGGTGACGGGCCTCCAGCCTCGACTCCCCTCTCCAGCCAGGGGCGCTCGCCCTGCACGGCTCCTCACATTGCCTTATGCATGGAGGTCCTGATGGAGGGAGGGAGTAGGAGGGACCCGGGTGAGGCTCTGCTGTGCTTGAGTGGGCGGTGGTGCCACAGCAGAGGGGAGGCCTCAGAAGAGGCAGCAGAAATGGGGACAGATCTAGTCCATCGTGCTTCCGGTTTTAAGTGACAGAAACCCAGTGTCAATGGTTTAAACCCCAGAAGAGACGTGTTGGAAGGACGTGGGCAGCTCACACGCGGAAGAGCTTCCGTGGCCTGGAGGGTGGGGCTGGAGCCCCTCCTGCTTGTTCATGCGTTCCCCTTCTTGGCACTAGTTGGTTTTACTCTCTCCCTCCATGTTGCTTTTCTCCAGTAGCCCAGGGATTACCTTGGATCTCACATTAAACGCCAGTTAGAAAATTCCCAGGGAAAACTCCAACTGGACCAGCTTAAGTCATGAGGTAGGATTTGAACCCAGGCAGAGGGGCTCCAGAGAGTGCACTCTTAGCTGCCTCGTGCTGTGGCTCCTACAGAGGAAGGTAGAAGGGAGGGGAGTCAGGAGGGAGGAAGCAGCTGGAGACTGGATCACCCCACATATGATGGGGCTTGAGGTCCTGGCATGTCCCTCACCTCACCAGTCACTGCCGCAGTTCAGGCCATATTATGTCTCCTCTGTGGCCTCCGGTGGCCCCTTGACATGTCTCCCATCCTAGATGTCTCCCTGGTGGTGGCAGAGGCGGGGGGCAGGAGCAGAATCTAGCTGAGCCCAACCCATTTGTAGTAGATGAAATGTCCTTTGCTCTTGGGGCCACTTTGACCTGGGCTGGGTCTGAGGAGACACTGGGCTGTACTTTCTACAGAAACATATTTTATGTCTCCGCACGTGTGTGTTCATACAACAGTACACATGTACCTGGAGCACACCCCCAGAGGCGGGTGCACCGTGACGTTTAAGCGTCAGGTCCTCTCCCTTGCATGAGCTCATTTTAAGACCCTGGGGAAAGCCCCAGGAGTATGTTTCCATGGTCCGGCTTCTTCTTTAATTTGCCAAAGTAAATTATTTAGGCCAATTGGTGGTGAACAGGGTCTGGGTTCTGACCCCCCCCCCCCGGATTTTGTCTTGGGTGGTGTGCATGGGTATGCTGCTGTCCTGTGCAAAGGTGTACATTCTGTCTGGGTTTCCTGGGATATATCTTACATAAATGGTATGTAATGACAGAAGCAATAATGGTGAACAATGAAATAAAATAATTCTGACATTGACAAGATAATTATACCCCCCAAATATATTTAGATCATACCAAAAACTCTATTGAAGAGAGAGATAACTTTTGAATGGAATTATTGAAAAGACTTTTGCATTGTTTGATAATCCAATCAGTGAAGAAGAGTGAATTTTAGAAACACATTGGAGAAAAAAAAAAGTTTTTGCTGGTTTAACACAAAATACTAACAGCAAGAAAGTCAGCAAAACCATAATATGCCAGTGTAATAAATGTCGACAAACATTTTAATGAACACTGTCAGCTTAAAATCATTTAAAAATTAATCACCACACAAAAGAACTCAAGATACCTGGAACTCTAAAAAGTCCACAGATGAAAGAAACTTGATGGAGTTTTCCCCAAATTTGACACCAACCCTAAAACTGTACATGCCATTTCCAATAGAGGGACAAGTCTGAAATAAGCTCCCCTAGATGATCAAGGATACAAAACAAGTTTT